ATAAGTTAATTTAAATTTGACTTGAAATTTGATTTGAACTTAACTCAACTCAAATAAATTCAAGTCAAAATTGAGTCAAGTTAAACTCGAGTCGAGTCAAATTGAGTAGAGTTTAAAATTTATATAACTCGAATCAAGTCGAGTTAAAAGATTTTATAAAATAAATTTGACTCGACTCGACTCGACTCGAAAAAAATGAGTCAAATAGAGTTAATCTTTAAACTCGACTCAACTCGACTCATTCGGAACTCTATTAGTGATAATCCATTTATATTACTAAATGACTATACTAACTAATGTTATCAATAAATACTAGGAAAATTGTAATCATCATTTTCATTATTATCATAGCTATTACAGTTATAATTGTGATATTTATTATAACATTTATTATTATTTTCTTTACTATATTTATTATTATAATTATATTTATTTTCTTTATTAAATTATTATCTCTATTTTATAATTGTATTTTATATAAATATCATATTTTTAACAACATAAAAATTATATTCTTATCAATATATATTTCCTTAAAATATAAATTATCAATAAAGATGACCTGACTCTTCCACTTAAAATAAAATCATATTTATTTCTTTTATAGTTTAACATCTTAAACTTCCTATTAGCAAATTAGCTTTATTATATTAATGACATAATGTTTAGGCTTAATAGCATCTTTTTTTAACTCCTTACTATTCTCAGACTAACGGACTAGTAGAAGGTTCAATAAAACACTTTACAAATCCTTAGCTAAGATCGCACAGGAAATCTCAAATTGAGATATACAAATTACCTTCACTTTATTTGCTTTTCAAACCTCAAAACAAGCAACAACTAAAATCTCTTTCTTTTATTTACTTATAGAAAAAGAAATGGTTATTCCTTGATGAACTGATTGAAAAGTATATAACTTTAAATAGATATATAGAATCCTTAATAGATGATTTATCGCAGATCAGAGTAAATGCTAAAAATTATGTGAATAAATCATAAGTTAATCAAAAGGAGCAGCATAATCATAGCTTAAAAAGAATTTGTCATTTTAAAATTAGAAATAAGATTTTATATTATAATATTACTAAGGAAAAATAATGATCTAGTAAATTAGAACTAAAGTGAAAAGAGTCATACTATATACATTAAATATTATTAAATGACTTATACAAAATAAAAAAAATGAATGAAAAAGTTTTAAAACTCCTATAAACAAAGATCTTTTAAAATTATATCATAATCATTCTAATTGAGAACTCAAATAATTATATAATTTTAATTTTAATTTTATTTATTTCTTTATTAATTTATTTATTTCTCTTTATTAGTTTATTTATTTATTTATTTTTATTTAGCATATATTATTTATTGTTTAATTATTTTTTATATATATCACTATATCATTGGAAAACTTTAAAGCTGATTTATTATGAAATGCTTTTGAAAGTACTTTCCTCCTATTATTCTTTTATACTGAAAATATAGAATTAAAAAAGAAATTTCAACTTATCTATCGTATATTAAGGAGAGCCCCAACTCTTAGAAACTGAATATTAATGATAATAAATGCTTATTATTTAAGATAACTTTTAGAAAAGAAAACTTTAACTCCTACCTAACAGACTCATTATAAAGGCATATTAATAAGATATTATTATTTTGCTTTAGTAAGAATTTATTTTTTCTTTGAATTTCAAAAAATAAAACAAATTTAATAAACAAGATTTCTAAGTCTTTCAGAAATCTATTTTATAAAAAAAGTGGATTATTTATCTTTATTAAATAAAGTAATATTAATTTAGTCTGAAAATTAAAATTTAGAAGAGGAAATTAAAACTGGTAGAACTTAACAAACTGAATAAACCTAACAAAACTAACAAAACTGACAAATCTGTTAATAATTATATAACTGTTATTATTATTATTTCTATCATTATTATTATTTATTTTATAGTTAGCATATTTAATATTATTAGTATTTATATTAGTCTTATTAGTATTACTATTATTGTCAATAGTATCCTAAATTAATTATTGTTAGCAATTTTTTTTAATTATATTTTTCTATATAAAATACATAAAAATGTCTTAAAAAAATATAAATTTGATACATTAAATATATTTAACAACAAATAATATTAATAAACTTCAAACATATTTCATTAACTTAAAATATATAACTTTATTCTTGTTAACTAAATGAACTCCTTAATTAACATTGTGTTAAGTTGATTTAATTTAAGTCATAGCTATTGTCTCTTTAACTTCAAATCACAATTAACTTATTTAATAAAAGAGTAACATTAATATCATATATCTGCCTAATAGTTTATAATAAATATAATAAATATATTATAATTATTTAATTTTATTATAAATTTGATTACAAAATATTAAAAATTTATGAAAACTTTTTAAAGAATTGTAATACATTAGTCTATTATAAAAAATTTATATATTTCATTAATTAACTATAAATTTCTTTCTTATAGTGTTAACGTGTAATTCTTGTAAACTATAACTGTTAGACAGGATGTTCAAGTGGTTATTCTTTTTAATTGAGCAGTAATCTTTCAACGGTTTACAGGTTTTAATTCAAATGGTTTATTAAAAGTATTTATAGGTTTACAATGAGTTACAATTAAACAGATTGCCAGTAGTTATATTTGTAGAATAATGTATTTATTTACAAATAAAATAATAAAAATAAATGAAAAGAAATAAAAGAAAATAAAAAAGTAAGATGAGAAAAGAAACGAATTACTAAAACTAAAATATAACGCGATAGGCCAATTGCCTCTAAAACTACTAAAACTACTTATTCAGTTCCTATCTGTCTCTTTACATGACTAAAAAGCTATCTATTTATATAAAATAATTTACATATAAAAATATAACTAACATGTCTACTATATCGACTATGTCTAATATATTAACTATATCTAATATATCAACTATATCAAATATATCAGTTATTCCACATATGTCTGACATATCACATATATCACTTATGTCAATTTAGTCAATCTTTGCATCACATAAGCTGCGTCATATTTACCCGTTCACAATAGTTAAAAAATTTACATATTTTTTATATCTTATATATTATTAATCTTATGATCAATCTGTCAAACTTAGGGTAATAGTAATTTAATTATAAGAAGTAATATGCAAGAAACTACTAAATTATTATAAAATAAGTCTATTACAACTAACTTTAAGTTTATCAATTTAGATGAGTAATTAATTTTAAGAAATTTAGGAATAATAAATACTTTAACATATTAAAGGATTTTAATATATATATAATTTAGAAAAAGATTTTTTTATTATAAAGATTATATTCTTAGCAATATTTAACCTTAAATTTTAAGTCTTTAACTTATATTTTTGAATTATCACTGTTATTACTGTCATTTTATAAAAACAATTTTTTATCCTATTTATACAAAATTACAATTATAAGAGTATCGCTATTTAATGCTATTTTATATAAACTAAATTATAATGTTAAAATAAATATAAGTTATAAATTATAATTTAATTATAATAATAATATAATAAATAATAAAATAAATAATAATAATATATATAATAAATATAAATAAAATAAAAATATTAAATAAGCTAAAAAAGTTAAATTGTTAATAACATTAATTTTTATTAATTTTTATGATGTTGTAAGATTGACTTCATATAATATTATCTTTAATGTTAAATTATTAGAATATTAAAATTTTAATTAATTAAATTAAGTTATTTTAAAATTTAATTTATTAATATTAATGAGAACGTTACAATTTGCAACCAGTTTTATTTAATTTTATTTATTTTTTTCTTTTTTTTGGTAAAGTATATAAACATGATATTTTAAAATTTGAAAAAAATTATATATATATATATATTCAGAAAGGTTTAGCAAACAAAAAAGGGGGGTTACTTCAAGTTCCTATCTGTTGCGTAAATGAATAAGTAAAATAAGATTCTAAATTTATATACTGAAGTGTTATAGTAAAGACTTTTTTAAAAAAAAAAACTAATATTTTTTTGTTTTTTAATTCCGTTCTTTTAAATACAAATGGCCTAAATTTCTTGCAAATTTCAACAACAAATATATATATAAAGAAAAAAAAATTTATATTTACTACAGCAAAACGTGAATTCTATTTCCCATTAGAAATATAAAAAGAATTGTCTTTTATAAATGCGGCAATTACGTAATTAATCCCATCTCGTTTTTTTATTTTCACGATAATGTTCATCATCTCTATCGGCACTATATTGTTCTAGTTCTCGTTTTTTACCAGATAAAGAATGTGGTGGGGATGAAATTTCGTTTCTTTGATTAAAATTATTATTATAATTATCTTGAGGCTGTTGTTGTGTATTAGTTGAAATATTTGTATTAATATCTGTAGGTTGTTGTGGAGGAGTTTGTCGATTTGAGTCCATGCTTGTTGGTGGATTTGTAGAAGGTTGTATGAGTGGAAAAGTATACATTGGTTGCTGTAACGGATTCTCGGGAGAATATTTTTGATCTGCTGCATTTTGCACTTTCTCTGACCAAGAATTTCGAAGAGGAAGATTTGATTCCGAATTATACGAAGATCGTCTTCTGGGTGAAGCTGAACCTTCCCATGAAGCATCAGAAAATTTTCTCGATTCTGACGAGCGACGAGATCTATCATCTCTGTCATAACCATCCCGATCCCGGTCTCGATCTCTATCTCTTCTATTGCGATGTCCTGGACTTTCAAATAACGGTCCTATTTTTTTATTTGCTGATCCACTTGAAAATCCTTCCCCAATTATTATATCAGGTTCTTCAACAACAACACCACCTACTACAGGTCTACCTCCCGTCCCACCACATTTGCTTGTAACCAACCACTTTCTATCCGTTTCAGTTAATCTATTAAGTGGAATTAAAGATTCTCCTGATGGAAATTCAAAACAATCTTTTGGTCCAAAACCTACACCCCATCGTACCTGTAAAAAATGAAAATTAAAATTAATAAATAGAATTTCTTATTTTAACAAAACAGAAAGATTAGGTTTACGATAATTTTATAAACCTTTAAGGATCTCACTTTCATCCGAACACCTCGAAGGGCTCTTGCAGCTGCTGCTCGTGTTTCCAATTTTACGAATCCATGATTTTTATCATAGTTAAGCTAAACATCATCATCATTATTATTTTAATTTAAACGGAAAATATTATATTAAAGTAACTTTCAATTAAATTAAATTCATACCGTAACAGTTGATACCGGACCGTGTTTAGCAAATATATCTTCAATATATTGTTTAGACATATGCTCCATAACGCTTCCAACATAAAGCGTTCGACTCAACACTTCAAATGAATAAACAAATGAAATAATTTCAAAATTATAATTTATGATTATAATTTATGATCAATAAAAAAAAATTTTCTTATACACGTCACTAATTACCTTTAATGAAATCCCTTCCGACACTTTGATCTTCATATACGACACAAACATCGCCACCTTGTGGTGGTTGCTGAGGCGGTGTTTGTAAAGGTTGATTTGGATGAATCTGTTGTTGATTTGGAGTAGTTTGTCCCGGTGGTTGAGGAATATGATGCCCAGGAGGAGGTAATTGATGTCCTGGAGGAGGTAATTGTTGTCCGGATTGTGATCCTGGAACATTATGTGTTATAATTGGTGGTTGACCTTGTGGTGTCATCGGATGACCTAGTAATGGTTGGCCGGGGGGTGGCACGTGATGGCCGGGGGGAGCAGGCAGCGGCTGTCCGGAAATCGGAACCGAAGGTTGGGCCGGAAAACCTGGTGGTGGTGGATTACCTTGGAAAGGAACAGGATTTTGTTGTTGACCGGAAGTTTGATTAGGAGGAAATTGTGATCCATTCGATTGAGGAGGACCATTAGGATTCCATTGTTGAGGTGGAAGAACATTTTGTTGATTTGACCAAAGAGGTAAGGGAAAAGGTGGCGGGGGTTGGTAATGTTCTGGAAGTGGTGGCATACCACTAGATGAAATTTGTGGTGGTTGACCGGGAGCGACCCAATTCTGTGGTGGTGGTGGAAATTGAAACGGTGGAATTGATGGCATATTTGTCGTGTTTGGTACCGCAGAAGGCTGTTGAATTTGTTGCGGTGGAATTTGTGATTGTGTTACTGAGATTGAAGGTGCATTTTGCGAGGGAGTAAATAATTGATTTGCCATCAGATTGAATTGATCTTGATTAAATTGTGATATTGGTGCAGTTGAAGCTGCGCTTGTTGTCGCTTGAACTCTAAATTCGTAAATAGCATTAAAAAAAAGAAAAGAAACAATTGGATATTTTAATATTGATTATCATCAAATGATTATTTTGAAGGATATTTGATAATTGATGCTATAAATGGCTTTAATATAATTATTCATTAACTAAACTAAACTCGCCCAAATCAGGATCACGTGCGACTTAAAAAGAACAGGTTTTAAAGAGCTCTTTTTTTTTTTAATGACTTTACGAATTATATGTAATGATTCAATAAAAAGAGAAGGAAGAGAAAGAAAAAACTCCAAATAAGAATAAATAAATGTTTATTGGCGATTATTTTTTTTTTTTAAAAAAAAAAAGTTTACTGGAGATTAATTAAATTCGTGCTTATTTTGATTGCAGTTAGTTTAATATGGATTTTCTAAAAAAAAAAAAAATAAAAAAAAAAAACCTCCTTTCTGTGTTAATTTCGAATAAATAAAAAAAAAAGGTTGCAAACTATATATGAAAGGGTGAAAGGTAACCAAAGGAGAAACTCAAAGAATCTTGATGATCGTTAAAGATGCACACTAAATAAATAAATGACATTATTTTAAGAAATTAATCATTTACTTACGCATTAACAGACAGCACATTGTTAATCAACGATTTCTCAGCATTGTTTTTGTCATTATTTTGTACACGGGGCATTAACCCGATATCATCTGCTTCATCCATGTCTCCATAATCGAAATCAAAAGAATCATGCATAGGTTTGTTTCCTTTCAAATTAACATTTTGATTATAAGACGAAACTGGAGATCGCGTATATCCATTATTCATTGAAGTTGATGTAGGCATTGAAGGTCGATGGTTGGATGTACTCGTCGACGAAGGTGGTAAATTAATATTCGTAAATTGGGAACTACTAGTCGCTGGCATTGTGGCATGACTATTATAAGGAATTGTCGAATTTGGTTGTATAGGAACGGAATTTATCTGCTGTGAAGATAAAAATGATGGAATATTCAAAGTTCCTTGCGTAAGATTATTCAAGGTGGCTAATAGTGCTGAAGAATCAAGCGATGACGGATTTAAAGTTGTTGGATCTAAAGTATTAATTAATGACAAAAGGTTAATCAATGTTTCCTGGAAACAAAACCTTTCGATTGAATCAATATTGTCAATGCTATAATTTATGAGACACATTACATGACGCATTTCCAATGTGGTGGTCGCCTCCATTTAACGATCGAACATCATCCGTCGTTGTTCTTTGTTGAAAATGGGCTTCTTTTATTTTTTGTAGTACCTCTTTGCTATAAATACCAGCATCTTTGCTAATCCATATATCTAGAACACGTTTCACTTTATCCTATATTTTATTATATATACGAGTTAATTTTAATTAATATCACAAAAGATAACTTTTTACCAATAAAATATAATTAATAATATACTAATTACAGTCAACGCGATAAAATTTACAATTATCAACATTGAACATTAAGATACATGAAAGAAAAGTCTGAGAATTTGACATGAACTATATGTTATGATTTTATTATTAGGAAGATAATTTAAAGATTCGAAAGTGAAAGAATTAAATTATCATTCTTTTTTTTTTTTTTCTTTTTTACACGAACTCTGCAATTTGGTCTCTACGTACTAATGATGAAAAAAGAAAAGTAAAATAATGTCTTCTGCACGTGATCCATACCTTATCATATTCTGGACATTGCATTATGTTTGAAAACATTTCTTCCAACACTTTTTCGAATCTTTCAAGATATTCAGCGCCTGACCAACCAGAAGAGTTAATATCATCTTTTTCTGCTACTAAAGATTTTTGTCTTGCTGCCGCCTGTGATATTGAATCTAGAACATATAATGCACCCAATTTGTAATCGACCGAGCATCTCTGAATGAATTTCTGTACGCTGTATACAATATTTTTATATTGCTGAAATTTTCAGCGATATTTTGTTGTATCGGGTGCATAGAATAAGAAGACAAAATTTTAGGATTTATTTTAGAGGTTTTTATGATGTTAATGTATTGCTTTATAATTTTTTTTTCCCCATTTATCTTCTGATGTTATACATAATTATTAATTACAAATTTATACCAAAGTTAACTTATTTTACGACTTGTAAGAATATTTTTTATTTCAAAATAAGAGAGTCAATAAACAACTCACTAAAACTCTCGCACTATAAAGCACAGGAGTTTTATTTGAAGACTATTCGTGATTTTCTTACTACAATCCGAATAAAAATGTTTAACTTTACTATATAACTAGTGTGTTTCGTACTTTACTTTTACGTTGTTGTTATTACAATAACTTGCCCTCATTTTTTTTTTTCTTGCAAGGATATAAAAAAAGCCTCTACCAGCTAAGATTATTTCTCACCTTTGGACTAGTCATTGCGATTCTCGTTAGATCTTTGATTTTCGACGCACTAATCCCAGGGGGCTTTCTCTCGAGAAGTTCATGTAACTTTCTTTCGAATTCTATAACTTCTTTAGCTGTCATTTTTTTTTTTTTATTAATCTACGGTGAAAAGCTGTTCAAAAAAAAAAAAAAAAAATTTTTTTTTTCTTAAAAAAAGAGAGAAAATTTTTAGCTGATAGGTTGAAAGAGGCTTTTGGCTCATAAAACTTAATATTGGGTATTGTTAACGTAGTATTCTTTATTGGCTGAAATATGAATCAGTTGGTTGATTAATCATCCCGAATTAGTATGTATCACTATAACGATTAGCCAATAATAAACCTCCGATTGTAAATGCTTAATTATATTCATTTATTAGTTTTATTTTTATAATAAGTAATTATAAAAGTAATAAGATAAAATTTAACTTTAATTATCAATATAAAATAATATTTATTTTATATTTATTATATAAATATTTTAATAATTTATAAATTAAGTAAAAAAATCAATAATTATAATATTTATATAAAAAATAATATTAGTTAAAATTATTATTAATAATAATTTTAAGATTAAAATTACAAAATTTTAAATATTAATCATTTATGTAATAATAAATTTATATAATTTAAATATATAATTGTAATTAATAAAAAAAATTATTATAATTGAATTTAAAAATAATTTTTTAATATTAAATTAATTGAATTTAAAAATAATTTTTTAATATTAAATTAATTGTATTTAAAAAATTTATTACTTTAATTATTATAATAAAATTTAAATAAAATTCAGATAATATTTAATTAATTTAATAAAAAAAAATTTTTTAAAGAAAATATATATTGAATATTATATTTTTTATTATTTATTTAAATAAATTTATAAATTAAATGCATTAAATTTATTTAAAAAAAAAACTTTATAATTTATAAAAATATGTTTTTTTATTTAAATAATAGAAAATAAAAAATATTAAAAAAATTATAAAAAATAAAATACTAATTATAATTAGTAAAATTCTAATTAAAATTAATAAATACTAATATTTTAAAAAGATAATATAAAATTTATATTATATATCTAAAATAACATTAAATATAATTAATTAGTTTATTTTTTAAAATAAATAAATAAAGTGATTTTTATTTTTAGATTTATTATAAACTATATATTTTTAATAATATAATTACAAAATTTTTTAGTTTAATAATAAAATTCAAAATAAAAAATTTGTATAAAATTGTATTATCAAATAATATAATTTTTGTCAATTGAATTTATTTATAATTTATTTTATAATACAACAAAATAGATTTAAATATGTCTTATTTATATAAATGATAAAATAAAAGAGAGTTATTAAAACTATTAGATATAAGGTTAAAATCGCAAAATGAATATAAAATTCATATTTAGTTAAATATAAAAAAAAGTTATTACTTATATAAAATACAATGAAAATAACTAAATAGAAAAACATTTTAATATTAATCATAATATAATAAATCATTAGGTAAATATAAGTTTAAAATAGACAAGTTAAATAAAGAAGAAAAATAAGCAGATTAGTTTTGATAGAAAAGCAATATTTTAAAAATAAAAAAAAACTTTATATTAGATTATATAATAAAGAAAAATAAGATTTTGCATTAACTACTTAACAATAAAAAATAAATCATTAAAAATCTTAAAAAACTTAAAATAATAGTTTTTTATAAAAATTTAAAAAACTTTAAAATATCTTAACATTGAATAATAGGTTTTATGAAAAAATTCAATTTAATATTACATAAATAAATCAGAATTTCTCAAAAACTTCCTGATAAAAACTTAGAAACAACTAGAAAATTTTACTAGTTTATTAAAAATTTAAGAATTGAAAAATTATTTAAATTAGAAAAAATCCTTAATATGAATAAAATACCAGTCTAATTTAATATAACTGATATTTATATGATTAACTCTAAGAAAGAAAAAATAATTTATATTTTAGTTATAAAAATAAAAGAACTAATTTATAATAGTTCTTATATATACTGTAGATATTATTTATTATTCTTATTTTTGCTTTTTTTTTAATTTTTTACCATTTTTTTACTATTTTTCTTAAATTTTTTTTTTTTAAAAATTTTTAATTATTTTTTTATTTAACAGTCTTTTATTTTTTTAAATCTTATAATAAATGGATTTAAATTTTCTTCTAATTGTATTTAAAAAAAAAAAAATTTTATATAAGAAAAATACCTTTAAAATCATTATTTAATTTCAAAATAATGGTTAAATGAATACTAATTTGATATATAAATATATAGATTATCTTAATAAATAAGAATATAAAATAGAACATAAGAAAAATTAACAATATTTTTATATAATTCTTTTAAAAGTCATCTAAAAGATTTAATTAAAAAAGATTTTATGTAAATAAAGTTTATTTCATAATAATCTTAAGCGAATAAACAAGTAAATATCAACTACTAAATATTTTTATTAATAAATTATTTAAGAATAATCTGTAAAAGAAGTAATACTCTTAAATAGTAAGTAGTAGTACTGAAGAAATTACTTTAAAAAATCTTTATCATACAAAGCTTAATGATATATATTTATAGATAAAATATTTAAAATATTTATAGAAAAGTATTTCTACTGATATAATCATTATTCTTTAAAATATATAATATTTCAATAATTTGAGCTCAGATAATATTAATGATGATGATGTTAATAAATATAATTATAATAAATTAATAAGCATGTTAATAAAATGTTAATAATTATGATGATAATAATATTAATGATCATGATAATGATGAATATCACTATAATATTATTGACATTATAAATTAATTTTTTCATAAAAATAATTTGGTAGACAATTTTATATATTTTTAATTAAATACTAATAATTTGTAATTTTATAATATTTTTTTTTATCGTAATAATAAAATAAAAAATTAAATCCATTTATAATATATTCATAAAGCTAAATAATTTATTAATTTAATTAAAAAAAATATTTAATTTTCTGAAGTATTGCTTTTTTAAAACTAATATAAAACAAATATTACTTATTTTTGAAAGTTTCTATTTTAAAAGAATACAGTATATAAAATTATATAAAATAATAATTTTAATATATAAAAGTTAAAAATTTATATATATATATATATATATATATATTACATTAATGCTCTAAATGGTTCAGTTCAGTTTGATTCAAATTATTAATTTTAATAATACTAATCCAAATTTAAACTGAATTATAAACTGGTAAAAATTTGAATTAAACTGAAATTTTAGATTAATCTAAAAATTTAATTCAATTATATATAAATTTCAAAGAAAATCTATAAGAATCTGCAATTTTATTATAAATCTTAGTAATTCTTTAAGAGTTTCACAATTTGTATATATATGTAAAAGTTTGTAATTATTTGCAATTTTTTTAATTTTTACGATTCTTTTAAAATTTTACAAGTAATTTGTGATTCTTTTAAAAGTTTTACAATTTTTTGCGATTTCTTTAGTATTTTACAATTACTTTGTGATTCTCTTAAAAGTTTCACAAAAATTTGTGATTCTCTTAAGAGTTTTATAAATACTTTATGATTTTCTTAAAGTTTTACAAGTAATTTGTGATTTTCTTAAAGTTTATAATACTTTGCAATTTCTTTAGAATTTTACAAGTAATTTGTAATATTCTTAAGAGTTTTGCAATTACTTTGTAATTCCCTTAAAGTTTTATAAATAATTTGTGAATCTTTTAGAGTTTTGCAATTATTGCGAATTATTTGATATAGCAAATTTTTAGTGTAAAACAGATTTTAACATATGAAAAAATTTTTGATATAGCGAATTTTAATAATTATATTTGCTATAACCTTATGCAAAATTAAGTTTTTAAATAATATATATGAAAATAACTCTTGACATAATGAATTTTTCTTATAATAAATTTTTTTTTACTATAACGAAGCACGTGATTTTAAAACTTAATTTTTAATCAGTTAATTATATTATAAAAATGATTTTATTTCAAACTGCAATAACTCAAACAATATTAATGTTACAGATATAAAATACATACCATTCGAATCCTCTCAATGAGATGAATCTAAAGATACTATAATCATAAAGATCTAACTACTGGATGCTTAGATCGATCAAAATATCTTTAAATATTTAGTATAAAATATGCCTATTAATATTAATGCTACAGATATGAAATACCTACTATTTGAATCCTCTCAATGAGGTGAATCTAATGATACTAAAATCATAAAAATCTAATCATTATATGATATGATTAATCAAAATATCTTTAAATATTCAGTACAAAATAACTCCACTAATATTAAAGCTACAAATATAAATACATAATATTTAAATCCTCTCAATAAAACAATTTTAACAATACTAAATTCATAAAATTCTAATCACTAGATGCTAAGATAATCACAAAATCGTATTTTATTTTATATTATACAAAATTATATAATATCATGTTAACAAATTTTCTTATAATGAAAGTCTGATTACTGTATAATTCTGAAAATAAGCATCGCATGATATATATGAATTTATTAGTATATACGTAACAAATAATATAATAAATTCTATATGACAAATAATTAATTACTATAAAAGGAGCATATCATGGGATGCTTATTTTTGGAAATATACGGTAGCTTAAATGCTTACTTCATTATATTAAGTATTAACTGTAATTATCATAATAATAATTATTATCTCAACTTCCTAAATTTCACTACAAATTTCAAAAAAATTATGTAATAATATAATATAATTAACTAAATTAATAGCTGTTTTTACATCTTTTACAGATATTTCTTTTAAAGCTTTAAATCTAACTTTCAATCTACCAAATGTATATTCTACAACAATTCTATGCTTTAAATGAATAAAATTAAACTAATATTATTTATAATTAAAAGGATTTTTAAAAGAAAATATTAAAAAGAAGAAATTGGATATACTGAATCACCTAGCATATAATCTTCATCTTGAATATATTTAGTTCTATTAAAATAAAAATCTTAATTAGTATAAACTTATGTATCATATACTAATCTAGACATTCTATTATATAATAAATAAAAATTTTGCAAAAGTCAACAATTCTTTGATATTGAATTGCATATCTTTCTTGTGTAGATACTTCATTTAAAATAAAATGAGTTCTATTTATTGCTTTAATAACATTTTGAAATCTACTAATATTTTAAAATTCTATATAAATAATTGTTCTAATATTATTTTTAGATCATTGAATAAATTCTGATTTTTTATTCCTTATAACTCTTATTATACAATTTACATAAAGAATTACAGTACCTTCTGATACTTTAAATTTAGAACAAATACTCATAATATTATCTTTAAAACTAATACATTGAAGAAATATTGCTAATTGAAAATCAACTGATGCTTGTGACTTTTTTCCTTGGCTTTGAAATATTACATTATGCTATAAAATTTATACTAGTTTATTAAACTGCTGCTTTTTCATTTATAAAGTTTTTTTAAAATAGATATCATTATATAAAGGTAATATTTTATACCACTAATATTTGGATTTAATAATATTATGTATTTGAGAAACAAGATAACAAGAAGACAAAGTAAGAAGAACTATTTTTATTAGTTTGAAAATCTTCTAATTCATTTAATTCATTATTAAAAAAATTATTTATCTCCTCTATTATTATTAATAATAAAGCATTGTCTATATCTTGTTTAATTAACATGATTAGTTAAAATTAAAATGAAACAGATCAATTTGGAATTTATTTGCTTAATTCTTACTATTTTTTAATTAGTTAAAATAATTCAAAAAAATTAGATCAGATCAAAATAGATTAAAATTAAATAGGACTAATTATTATTAAAAAAAATTGTATTAATATTTACAATAAATGATAAACATAATTAATTTAAAACTTTTTATTCTTAAGTATTTTTTCATTTATATTATAAAGGTAAAATTATATATAATTTTATAATTTTGAATTATTATATATCTAATAGAAAATTGATTATTTTTTTTTTTACTTTTAATAAAGTATTAAAATTTTAAAATAGAATTTTTTAAAATATCTGCTAATTGTTATTGAATTGTAAATTAAAAGTATAGATAATAGTAAAATTAATAGTAAAATTCTTATAAAATAAATAACTGCTTATTGAAATTAGAAATATCTATATACTAAAACTTTTTAATTTATAGAATGGATTTGTTTTTAAATAATGAAAAATATTAAATAAAGAAATAATCATATTCAAAAAATTGCTCTTATATAATATCAATTATATCTTATTAAGTAGCTATTAAAAGTTTTCTCAATTTTAAATTAAGTAATAAATAATTATTAATTTACTTATGTATATTTATATATTTAATGAATTATTCTTTTTAACTTAGATGTAGATTATCTTTCAAATAATTTTAAATCTATTTCTATTATATCACTAATTTAGCTATAGAATTAAATTATATTAATCAGAATATTATAAATAAGAAAATTAAAGATATTGTATTATATCTTAAATTACATATTATATATTTATAGAAACTTATATATTTAATAATAAATATTTTTGAGATGAATTAGATTTTACTTAATCATATATAAAAATAATATTAGATTTATCTTTTAGTAAAATAAATTTGTATCTTAAAGAATTTTTGATTTTAATAAAGATTTTAATCAATTTTAAAAAATACTGAAGAGATTGAATAAATTGAAAATAAAAATAAAAATTTTGGTATAGAATTTCTTCTTCAAGATATTAAATAAATAATAGAATTTATAATATAAATAAAATTTGTAATTTTAGTAATATAAGTAAATTGTGAAAATTTTGAAAAATTTGAGTTGATTGATTTTTTTATTTGTTAAATTATTATAAAATATACATTATACATATAGTTAACTCTCATTATAATCACACATTTGAGATATCTTATATTCTGTGACTATGACAAGATGTAACTATAAACAAAAAAAATTTTTTAATAGTAAAATATAAATAAAAAAAACTATAAGAAACATATAATATATCAATTTTATTAATTAATAGACATGTTATTTATTATATAATTATATTAAGTATATCAATAGATAGTTGTTCATAAAAGAGAATTACTTTTTTGATTACATTAAGTGCTTCCTTTGATAAAACTTTTAGAATTAGTTCCTCTTCATTATTAGTATTAGACAATTCTTTATCATGATCTTGTACCATATTTATTATTTGTTTATCAGTCAAAATTTTTTCAGTAGGTGGAAAAGTTTAATTATGAATATAATTTTCTAAACTATTTCAGATTTTATTATTAATAAAAATTGTTAAAATTATATCTGAAATTTATTAACAAGTATATCCAATCTTCATTATGTTGATTTAGAATTAAAATTAGATATAATTCTGATTATATCCTAACAATTGCATATGGTTTGCTGTTTTACACTTTCTTAAGCTTCTACTATATAATCAATTGCTTGTTTAATATTCAATTTATTTCTATATTAAGTAAATATTAATGATTTTATACAAAATAACAAATACGATAAAAAATAAAAAATACTTACTTATATATATTAGCACTTTAATCAAATTCTTCAATTAAATATCGAACATATAATTGCTTGTATTTAACTTATATTTAATAATTATAAATAAATTCATTTAATAAAACTTTAATTATTATCCAGATTCATAATAATTTCCATTTTCATTTTCAGTAAACAAGTATACTATACCTTAAAATTTTAAATAATTTTAGCATTCATCAGTTAAAGTTTTGACATCATATTTAGCAAAAGAAATACAATTCAGATATCAGTAAGTTCAATGCTATCTTTTTTGCTTCACTATCTTTCCTGTTTGATAAATTATAACCTTTTTGTTTACAATTATTTGTTTTATCATTTTTTAAAGATTCTTTAGATTTATCATTAGTAAAATTATTATTAAAATCATCTTCATCATCATAATTATTATCACTTTCATTTTCATCAGAAAAAGTAACGAATTTATGTGATAAAATAATATTAATAATTAAAATAATATGTCAATCTTGAAAATAAAATTCACAATCTAATTCATTAACCTATCCATTAAAAATATCATATTTCATCTATGCCTTTTTATTTGCTTTATATGTAACTGAAAGTCAGAAAGTTTGAATGCTGTAAAAGGCTCGTGACTTCAAGAATTTACCAATTACTAATGGTTTTAACTTATGAATTTCAGATGTATTTAATACTAGCATTATATTTACCCTAGTTTTATCCTATTAGTAAAAAATAAAAGAAATTTTTTAGTAATATACTATTATTAATACAAGAATAATAAGTAACAACATTTAGTTAATCAATATTAATGATATATACAAATAGGAATAAAACAAGAACATAAGAAATCTTACTTTTTTAATTCCATTAATGGATCTATATGCGAGAGTTTTATTAGAAGTTATACGAAAAAATAAATTAGTTTCATAAGTATTATAGATATCTTTTAAGCTATATCATTGTAAAATTTGCCAAAGTTTTTCTTGTTCTTGAGATAATGTTTCTAATAGAGCACTTGCTGATTCTTCATATAATTAATAACATTAAAAGCCATTTTTTTAAATCATATAATTTAATCATTTAAAAAAGTTAAAGTATTTTTAGGCACACCCAAATTATTTGCAAAAAAATAGCTTTTTCTTTTCAAAATCATATCTGAAATAAATATACAACTACTAAAAGCCTAACCAATCTAAATTTTTAATACCTCATTAACTAGGAAAACTTTAACTTGATGTGAACATTTAAAAGTGGTATAAATACTATTATCTTCAATTGCTAAAAAGATATCTTTCTTTTTTAATATTTTAGATATTGTTATTCAGTCCATATTTAAAGTCCATTACATATTAAAAAAAATTATATTGTTTTAAGTTTTATTAGAATTATTATTAGTATACAGACCCTTACCAAAAATCTCTGAACACCATTTTTTAGGCTTTTTCGTACTAATTATATCATGTAACTGTAGAAAATTGTGGCTATATAATGTTCCAGCCATTATTTACTTAAATCAAACTAAATAAATATGTGTTTGGTTTGTTTATTTTGATTTTAAATCAAAATAAAATTTTATCTTTTTAAAACAATGAAAATGTCTAAAAAATTAATAATAGAATAATGCAGTAATATAATTTTTTGCCATCAATACAACGATCATTATCAAACTATTGCTACGACTATCTATTAAAAATCTATAAGCTGAAGTCAAGAAGAGCATTTGTGAAAGGAAAAAATTACCTTCCAACCTTACTCAACTTGATCAACATGCTATAAGGGCATGAAAACAAATTCTGATACAAAATATTAAAAATTTGGTTAATAGTATACCGTAGCAAATTTGGGTTGTGATTGAAGCAAATTGAAGTCTGACCAAGTACTAATTATTTATTACTAAATATATAGCATCGTACTTTAATAAATATATTAATAAATATTTTTAATAAAATTTAAAAATTCCAAGTTTTATATTGAGCCAAAAAATGTTCATAAACTTTTTGACAGGGGTTTGTAATTACAAATTTCTTTACATTGTAATTTAGTTAAAGAAGTATATATTCTTTTTGTGGACTTTAAAGATGACATACTTTTAAAGTAATAATACGTTTTTATTTTAAAGTAAAACATTAACCTTTTATTAAAAAATCAAGTCACGTTATTTAAATTTTATTGAAAATCTAAAAATCTTGATTACAATATAAAATTTGTTGATTAAACAAATTTAATATTATTCCTAATCTGTAATTTAGATTTTCTAGATTATCAATGATTTTTTTGACTATATAACAATTTAGTATTACTTACCTTAAATAATATTTTAATGATAATATTATTTCTAATATTAAATTAGAATAATAAAATTTAGATAGTTTTTGTTAAAAATTGTGTAAATTTAAAAAAAATTGTTAATTTTCCAGAAAATTTCTATATAGAATAACTGGTGATAAAACCAGAGATAAATCAAAGATGAATCAGATGTAACTATCTGAATATTATTATTAAAAATTGTATTTCCTTTAGAAATGAAAAAATTGAAATCACGTAAATTTAGTAATTTTATCAAAATTGTAATTTTTAAATAATTTTATAAATTAGATTATATGTAATGCATAAATTAGAATTACAATTGCAATTTACAATTATTAGATAATTTTGACTAAATAAAATTACTCATTATATGCAAAATTTTTCAAATCTCTAACATATGTTGATATAATTTTATATAAATTTATAAGTATTTTTTTTCTTTTTCTTTAATTATTAAAAAATTAAATTTAACAATTTTTAAATTTTCAATTTATCAAAATGTCAAACACAATCAATTGGGATGATAATGAAGTTAAATTATTGATCAATGAAAGGAAAAACAGAAATGAAAAATATTGGTTTAATCTTGAAAAATCAAAGTTACCTTTTGGAAAGACATTACGAAAAAGATCAAAGAAGAATTTTATACAAATATTACACCAGCACAATATTAAGCAAAGTTTAAAGAGATGATTAAAGATTATAAAGTAAGTAAAATCTTAATTAATAAAGCAAACGATCTAATTATATAAAATAAAAATTATAAACAATCAATATTTTTAATTATTTGAACTTTATATGAAAAGAAATTTGAAAGGAAGGTGAAGTAAATTAGTAAAAAATATGAAAAACTATTTAAAACTTTATTATGAAATAAATCTGATAAGTAATTAAAAATATATTCTATTTGATATTTGTTTTAAAATTTAGTTAAATTCAAACTTTTTATTTTTTTAACTTCTCGAGTAGAAGAAAGAAAGCAATCTGAATTAGCACACTGTAAGATTTATTATTTAAGTTTCAAATATTTTAAACTTATTTTAACCTAAATTTTAATATTTACTTTACTAGAAAATTTAAATACTTCTCATTCTTCTAATCCTCCTTCTTCATGAAGATCTGCATCACTACAAAGATTTGTCTCTTCACCTTTATCATCTAATACTAAAACATCATAAATTAAAAATCCCTTCATATAATTCTTTTTTTTTTAAACCTAATTATTACACTAACTATTGATATTCCTTTTTTTAAAATAAACTTTTAACCCACTTTTTCCAACTATTATTATTCCTTTTTTTTCCATTTTCTCTTTTAATTTTACATTCAATTTTTTTATAGTTTTTTTTCTGATTTTTTACTAAAAAATAAATTTTTTTTCTAACGAAGCTTATCATCTCTACATAATATTTAAAATAATAAATATAGGTTAATCTATATCTGCTAAGAGCAGGTATACTTTAATATTTATAAATTTATGAGTATATGTAAAATGAAGGAAAAAACTATACAATTATTAGTTATTAATCTAACCAAAAACTAACAATATTGATTAATATGATCAATATATATTTAATAAAAAATATATTAGAAAAATTCTTCGTAATATTACAAAAGTTTTTTGATATTTTTTTCTTTATGCTAAATTTTTCACGTGACTATGTGATTATAAACAATATTTTTTAATTATAAGATTTTTTGAAATAAGAATAATAGTGATTATAGATAGAATATAACTATAAACAGTAGGATTTATATAATAAAAATTCAGGACATTTAACTAGGATGATTATATAGGATCTGTGACTATAACAAAGATAACTATAACAGGAGTTGACTGTATATCTTTTCATTATAAAATAATATTTTGCTTGTATTTTTAAATATATTTTTTCTCAATTTTTTATATTAAATATATGTTTTTATTAAAGAAAAAATGTTAAAACTAGTAAAATTTATCAGATTTAACAAAACTGACAAAATTGATAAATCTAATATATTATTATTAATATTATTAATATTTATATCACTATTATTATTTTTATTATTACTAATTGCTAAGCTGTTATTTTGTAATAGAAAATAAATCATGTGATATTATATAAATATTAAAAAGGAAACTTATGTAATCTATTTACATAACTATAATCTATTCAATATTTAAAATTAATATACAAAATACTTGCTTTAAGCATAATAATTTACTTATGTATAATATAATTTTAATTATATATATATTAACTAATCTTAATTTTTATTTAGATATATATTTGCATATATTAAAATCATAAATTTTGTGACTATAGTTTTTTCATATGAATTTTTTTTTTGAGACTTTTTTGTTTATAAAAAAATTTAAATTGAATTTTTATTCACTCTATTTACATTAAAACTTTAAAAAAAATATTATATAATAAATAAATTTGTTATTTGTAAACAAACTCTAATAATAAAAAAAAAAGTACTGTTAATGAAAAATAAAGAAATAAGAAAATAAATAGATAAGAATCAAATAAAAAAATATGTATAGATTTAATTTAAATTAATTACAAATTTATCCTTAGCTTAAGTAGTAATAAAAAGATGACAATATTTGTAGTTAATATAAAAATGCAAGAAAAATATTTTATAATAAATATAAGATCATATCAAAAGCAAATAATTAAATGTTATATAAATATTAAAAATCATAAAATTGCTATGGTAATTCAAGATAAATCTCAAACTTCAATTATATAAGGATTTACTAAATAACTTGAAAAGAAAATTAAAAATAATTAGTCTTATGTATAATACATATCATCTTTTAAAATATGAATAAGTCTTAAATATTTATCCAGAATTATATTGATTAATTCATCTACAAATTAACAACCAAAATGAATTTTAATATTAACAAGAATTATATATTATATAAAAATCAAATTTGGCAATTCTTATAGATAATTCTTTGAATAATTATACAACTTATAAAAATTCAGTTACAATACAGAATTTTTTAAAATCTATAATATTTATTATTGAAAGAGAAATAATAAATGATATTAAAAATTCTAAAAATTGAAGTATTATGATTGATAAAAGTATATATATTACTACAAAAATCTGATAATTGTAGTTAATTATATATCAAATAGTATTTCAGTTTTATGATACTTAGGTATGATTAAATTGAATGATTGTAATACAGATTCAATTACAAATAATTTCAACAACTCATATTAGTAAAGATGCTTAATATAAATAATTTAAATCATTTTAGATGATATAAGTATAAAGTTAGGTCATTGAAATGAAGTTGTTACAAGATTAAAAAATTAAACCTATTTATAACAGAAAATCATTATATAGCTTATAGATTATATCTTGCATGTGAAACTATTATAGAATAGGTTTCATATTTTAATAAATATTAAAAAATATTTATAGATATTTTAGTAATTTATACAAATGATTATTTAATCTCAAGCTAATTTAGAAAATATTAGAAGAACTGAAATTAATTTTTCTAAAGATTATCTCAATAAGGTGGCTTTCTTTTTCAAATATTATTAAAATTTTTTACAAATTATTGAATTAGTAAAAAAAACATTTCTTAAAGATATATCATATAATACTATAGCACTTGAATTATTATTTATTATTAATAAAGAATTTAAAATTATTACAATATTTTTAGCTGATTTTTTCTTTATTTTAAGTAAATTAATTTGAAGTTTTAATCAAATTATTTAACTTTATTAGATATTCAAATTTTAATATGACAATTGAAGCTATTTAATTACAACTTATTAAAATAATAAATAGATTCTTATATAGAACTAATTTGCAAAATTATTTATTGTAAAATAATATATTAAAATCAAATATTTCTTTTTTTGTTTATAATTTTTTACTACTTTTATTACAAGTCTTAAAAATCATTTTCTAAAATCAAGAGTTATATTAAACTATATGAATTTATGATCTATAACAAATTTTATTAGATAATAAAGACCTTATAGATTAGGGTAAAAATTAGATTAATATTTTATGTGATTTTTATAAAACTGAAAATACAAGATAATATAACATTTAATTTATTATTAAATAAAAGAATTTTAAAAAGTAAATAGGAATTAAACTTTATTTAAAAAATTTTTAACATTTATATTTTATTAAAATATAATAAAAAATCTTTTTACAAACATCTTTATTTCTGATTATTCTGTCACTTCAATATTAATAAAAATTGTTTTAGTAGTTTTAATTTTAAATACAAATGTTAAACAAGTTTTTTACTCAACAAAATTTTATTAAAACTCAAATTCATAATTAAATGAATTTAAAAATTTTAAATGATCATTTAATAATAAAAATGAATAGTCCTTTTATTGATTTATTTAATTTTAAATTAGCTTTTAAATATTAAAATGATATGTTTAATAAAATTATGTAATTATATTAATTTTGAAAAAATTTAATAAAATAATAAATAATATTATAAATATTTTTTTTAATAACTACAGTTAACTCTTGATATAACGAACTCTTGATATAACGAATTTTTTGAATAAATATAATAAAAATACTCTTGTTATAGCGAATTGGTCAATCAAATCTCTTAAAATCTTTATTATAGCCTTATAGTAAAGTTGGGGTCTAGAATATAGAGTTCATTATAATAAGAGTTGACTATATATATTAGCTAACTAATAGTATATAATTAGAATATTTTAAAATTATATAAATGTACTAGTATCATATATAATTTTGAGTTTAAATTTAAACACTGATAT